ATTTATTCACAGCATCTTGATGATTTCTACACTTTATTAGTGTATGGTTATGGTTTGCAGTGTACAGCTACCATGGAGGCTCTTTCTTTTTTGCTTCTGTATTAGGCAACTTTTAAATAAGAAAAAGATTGTAGTCTTCATATTTGGCCATGTATATAAAAAAGCTTTCATTAGAAACAGTGTTTCATTAAGTATTTTGAATTTATAAATTGTATATGCTCAAAAAATGTATATATGCATATATGTGTCTTTGTGTAAAATGTGCCATTGTGAACTAAGCTTGCCTAAAATTTAGTTGCTGACTCTCATTTGACTTAGTGAACTTATTCTGATATATAAGGTGGCCAATTTTTCCAATATGGATGAAGATGACATAGAATTAGAACCGGAGCGAAATTCAAGAAACTGGGAAGAAATCATTCCAGAAGATGTATTTTTGACAAGCTAGGTAAATTTATTCAAGCATTTTAAATATGTCACTTTGAACTACTTCCTCTGCAATTACAGATCAGCTTTAACGGCAGTGAAGGAAGGCGCAGTAGAAACAGAAGATATTCTGGATCTGATAGTGACTCCATCTCAGAAAGAAAACGTCCCAAAAAACGTGGAAGACCACGAACTATTCCTCGGGAGAATATTAAAGGATTCAGTGATGCAGAGATTAGACGGTAAGATGGGGGAGGAACATGCATATTTAATGGGACTGAACAAAATTGTTTAAAGTTTTTTCAAGTTAGTAAATACAAAGACAGTAGGGTTTTTTTCTGAATTTAGTTGAAAACTTTTATTCAAGGCACTTGAAGTTCTACCTTGCGTACTTTACAGTGCTGACCAAAAAGGCTGTCCAGAGGTTGAATTCATTTTGGTGAGGGATAAAATTAGGTTGGAAAAATATTCTTGATTGATCAAGTATGTATTACTCTTAATCCCTGCGTCCTACAGGAGATTCTACAGTGGGTAAATCCTTCATGCTCCCCCAGATATGCTCTGTTTCTCATCAGTATCAACTGTAATTGAGGAAAGCATGCACGCCTTTGATGTGGTACCCACAAAGGGTTGAGTGGGTTTAGTTTTACATTTTTTGACACTGTAATTGAATTAATGTGATATAGATGTTTTCTAAAAGTAAAAAATGCAAAACTCCTTTTTGTTAATAAATCTGTATAGCTGATCCTATCAGCATTTGGTGGGTTTTTTTGTTTGTTTTTTTTTTTTTGGTGGAAGGAGGAAGAGGAATTGTTTTTGCTTTATCTTTATGGGTTTTCTAAATGGTACTTTGGAATTTAAAATATTCGAGTTTCTCTAAAATATTTTAAAGATTACGAAATCAGAGATTATAGGAACAACCTCACAAGATCCTTGTTCCCTTTACATTTTATCTAACATAATGGATTGCACCTTTTGATGAGGTTATTTTTATGCTTGCATTAGTAACTCGGATTCTTGTTTGTTAAGGAAAATTCCTTTTTTATTTCATTCCCTCTCTGTGTTCTGGGCATTTGCAGTTTCTTTCCATCCTTCCACATTTTTTTCCTGAGGGCAGTAACATTCCTTTATCCTTCATGTCATATTTTATTAAATTGTAAAATCATCTGGTTCAAGTTGCAGCAATCTCCTTCTTGTTATGTAAGGTGTGGATGTTGTATTTACTCTAAATCCACATTTGATTTTTATGACTATATACATCTACTTACTGAATCTTTTGTCTCGTGAAAATAATTATTTCTGAAATAAATAGTACCATCTGTTGTTTTATTTGCATTGATTTTTAAACCAAATAAAACTGCTTTTAAATTTGGAGAATCAAGATATATTGCCTGCCCTATTCTCTGTAGTTTTCACTTCCTTTCTGTATAGTGTTGTAATAAAAATGTATTGCTACAGTTTTAAAATAATTTGGTTAGTTAAGCGTGTATTTAAATTGTAAAATTATTTTCTGTTACTAGGTTTATCAAGAGTTACAAGAAATTTGGTGGCCCCCTTGAAAGGTAAACTTACTTATTTAGCAACTTGAAACCTCATTTTCCTAAAATTAGAACAATACACCTAGAGAATTTAAGTTCAAAAGAAAATGGAAGGTAGTTTTGTCTTTTTCTTATTGTCAGTTCTTATTTTTAGGTTTTGTATATTTGCCCATTTTTGAGAATAAATTCTTAATTTCCTTAAAAATATTTATAGTCTATATGATCACATTATAGTTTCTTTTCTTTTTTAAGAAATGCCCAGTAAAATAATTCTAAAGTTGAGTAGTTTGTGTCTTCTGTGGTTCTTGCTGAATTGTCCTCTGATATGATCAGTTGTATTATTGTCTTTTTATTTACTTAATTATTTTTCTTTGTAGTTTTGCATACTTTTCCATAGCTGTTTTTAACATTGATAAAAATTACACACAACGTAGCAGCTGTGGTTAGCTTACAGGATCACCTCTCTTGATTCAAAATTTGAAAGTGTTGTTCACAAATTAGTGAAGTTTGAGCTGTAAAAAAGCGCATGTCTGTTTTGTTACAGGTTAGATGCTATAGCTAGAGATGCTGAGCTGGTTGATAAATCTGAGACAGACCTTAGGCGCTTGGGAGAGCTTGTTCATAATGGATGCATTAAAGCTTTAAAGGACAACTCTGGACCAGAAAGAGCAGGTACGGTGTCCTTGGATGTGGAGAAGAGGAATAAAAAGTATAAGGAAGCTTCATTTTTTCTTATATTTTCCCCAAATGCAATTGTTTTCTCTTACAATTAGAGTATAAATGATAGTAATAAATGTCATCGTGCTAGGCTATTAAAAAGGGATTATAATAAGAAGAGTTTGTCTCCCATTCCTTTGGTTAGTTGTCATAGGAGAATGCAAAAATGTTTTTGCTTTACCCTGTAATTTTTGGTTAATCTGATTTTATTTTATGTGAGACCTTGAGATTCTGAAGTTCAGCTGTGGTGTTTGGTTAAGAAAAATGCAACTTGATAAAGATGAGGGTGTACTGCTACAGCAACAGTCTTCCTTGTTTGCTTTACATTTTGTTTGTACATATAAAGGTACATATAAAGCCTAAATACTTTGATGTTTCCTTTTAAGGAGGTAGACTTGGGAAAGTTAAAGGCCCAACATTCCGAATATCAGGAGTGCAAGTAAACGCAAAGCTGGTCATCTCTCACGAAGAAGAGTTGGCACCATTGCATAAATCCATTCCTGCAGATCCAGAAGAAAGGAAGAGGTAATTTTTTCCAAAGGGAGCCATAATGGAGAAAATTACTAGATTTGGGAGTTTTTATGCATATATGTATCAATCCAGACTAAGCATCCTGTGACAACAGTGTGTTTCCATTCCCCACAAAGGACTGGCAGCAACAGTCTGCTCAGTGTGCTCTTTCTTCCCTTCCCGTAGTAGCCTGTACCTGCTTTTGTTCCTGGACTGTATTCTTTGTGGACTGGGTTCAGTTAATCTTCATGCTCCAGACTAATCTGGCTTGTGGAGCTGCCCAATGTTCTATCTTTGCCTGAGGCAAAGCAGTATCTTTGGATACTTTGGCACAGTGGAGCAGAGAGCCCTTGTTGGTAGCCGTTTCCATCCTCACTCTCTGAACTTTTTTAGCTTGCCACCCCGTTTATCATACTACCCAAAATATCCGCGGGTTCAGTTAGTGGTTACACTTGGGTGATATTTTAACCTTTTCTTCATGGCTGACCAACTTTGACCCATTTCATGGCCGTTGTATTTTAATTCTGACCTTCTTTAAACATGCTGTAATAGCAATTTCAATAAATGTTCTAAAGAAATTGTAAGGAAGTCTAATGGTAGATAACTGAATTACCTTCCTAAATATATCAGCCTTCTAGTGATGTAGCAATGCTGACTTTTTCCACTCATAGCACATTCCCCACCCCCTTGCTGAGTTTCTGAAGTAAAGATCACTTATTTGTCTGATTTACCTCCATTAGATATGTCGTCCCATGCCACACCAAGGCAGCTCATTTTGATATAGATTGGGGTAAGGAAGATGATTCCAATTTGTTAATAGGCATCTATGAATATGGTTATGGCAGCTGGGAAATGATAAAAATGGATCCTGATCTCAGCTTGACACAGAAGGTATGTAATCTACAAAATTTTTCGTCCTAAGGAACTTTTCTGTTGAGCTAATAATGCTAATAAATTACATGCATTGAGTAAACAGTCAATGGAAGAGCATATTTTATCATAGCTCAAATGGCACTGAAGTTGTATTTCAACTTTATTTTCTTTCGTACCCTTTTTGTGGTAGACTTTAAGGTCTTGTGACTTCTATATTCTTGCGAATGCTAAGTATGCCTTCTCACAGTTTATTATGTTTTCGTATTTCCTTGTCCTTGGGCTTCTATCCTGTGATGTTATCCATTCCAATCTTTTGTTTCCCTGTTTTATATTCCCTAGTTGTGCTCACTTTGCTCTTGAACTTTCAGAAGAGAGGCTGTTCTGTGGTTTGGTGTTTTCCCCCTTCTCCCCACTCCTACCTTAATGCCGATTTCCTTCACTTGAAACTGTTTTTCACTCACAGCCTGAGAATGGCCATACTCGCCAGACCAGAAGTAGCACAGTAGCTGCTCAATAGTTCTGAGTAACAGATTTGTAGTGATGTAATTGTAAGGTTAGCAACAGAAATCTGAAGCTAGTTTCTTGAGTTTATTGATAACTCAAGACAGTTTTCCAAACTGTCTAAATGCTTAAGAATCTCTGTTTTTTTGCTGGCATGTAAGCCAAGTGTAATTGAAATAGGTTTTTCTTTTCCCAGTCTCTTGTGCAGCTTTTTCTTTTCCCCATGCTCCAAGATAGCAGCTCACAAACTTGATAATTTCTGCACCTGCTTGATAATACTTTTCTCCCTCTCAGATTTTGCCTGATGATCCAGATAAGAAACCCCAGGCCAAGCAATTACAGACCCGTGCAGACTACCTCATTAAATTACTGAATAAAGACCTTGCAAGAAAGGAAGCACAAAGACTTGCTGGGGCGGTAAGTACATTTTGACATGCTGTAGTGAGATAAAATAATATGCTTATGAGCATGTTAGTGATTTTCCTGTTTTCTTCCTTTCTTTTTTTCCTTTTTTTTTTTCTTCTGCTCATTCTTGGTGCAGTTTTTCTCTATATTTCTAATCATATTACATGAGACTAACTCCAGTAATGAATTGCAAGTTTAATATTGTTTTATTCTGTCCTACTTGTGTATACTTTTTACTATTGTTTTGTCCCCAGTCCTGAGAAATATGTTGCCATTCGTGGCAACAAATAAGAGCAACCCTTTGTTTAATATAGAAACAGATCTTTTTCTGTAACTGTTGTTCAGAAATACTTGTTAGTTGAAGTAGTAAAGATACTTATTGCACTCAGGGCAATTCAAAGAGGAGGAAAGCAAGAACTAAGAAGAACAAAGTGCTAAAGGCTGTGAAAGTAAAAGAAGAAATAAAAAGTGACTCCTCTCCACCACCTTCAGAAAAATCTGATGAGGATGATGAAGAGGATAATAAGGTAAAAGATGGATATTCAGTTTTTGTTGTAAAGCTATTGTTAATATTATATAGGTACAGTCACATGAAAGACTGTATCTATATTAATTTAATGATAGACTTGTAGCTGAGGTATCATCATTAGGTTTCCAAATTATGGTATCATAGAATAATGTTATAGTCTGATTACAAGTGTCTTTGTACAGTGTCGAGATTCTTAATGACTTCAGCATTGTATCTGCCAGAAGTATCAATTTAATATAACATCTGAATATAAAACTGTTTCTGGCAAATGTGTTAGTACTGTTTTTACAGATTCTTTGGGTAGATACTTTTTGTTGTCGTTCAAGCTTAGTTCAAAAAAGAAGTTTGATTAGAAATAACATAATAATCATGTTCTGATGCCTGAAAGTGAAAGGTCCTGTATATGTCATGGCTTTCATTCCTCCAACAGACCTCCTAACATTGTTACTCTTTATTACTGATGTATTCTTTCAGGACTCTGTGTTCTGCTTTTATTGAGATTTTATAGGTTTTCTGGCTTTAACATTTATCTCACAGCAAAACAGCTAAAGAGAAAAAAACTTGGCTAAAATTTAGGACACGCTGAACCTAGTTCTGTGACTTCAAAGGCAATTGAAATAATTTGTGTGTGTCCTTCCTTCCAATTGAAAATAAACTGAAGTAAATATTTTGCCTAACCGCTTTAAACTACTACAAGTCATTGAAAATGTATGTTAAGATTATCATCAACCCCTTCTGTAAGGGGCAAAGTATTTATACAAATATACAGTTAAAACTGAGTGGGATGGAAAAGAATAATGATACATGTATATAAAATCATCAGTCTTTAAGTGAAATGTTCCTAAATATGTTTAAATTATACTATGAAAAATAAAACATAAAGCAGGAAAAAAAAATTTTTTTGAATGTAAACTTGTTAATATTTCCATGCAATAGTTTGTCTGGAACGTACAACTAAACTGTAAGGGCAACAAGGGCAAGTGAATCATAAAATTAGGTCTTCAATCTACTCTAAGATATGCATCAGGCACTAATCTCCACCTGAAACAGATCACACTGTCAGTCTGTCAATTGACTTGTATTTGGGGAAAGAACCTGGAATTCTGTCTCCTTTTGTTCCTTTACTAATGAATGTTCATCATTTCAATGCTCTTTTGCATACCTAAAATAATTGCCTTTCTGAAAACCGGGATAGGTTGTTAAATCCTATTTCTGGATCTAAATGCCACTGACTTGCCATAGAATATGTAGTTTTCCTCTCTTTTTGTTGGGCAATTTCAGCTAGATACCAAAGGCTGGACTACCTAATCTAGGCACTTTGAGGTCCATGTGTTGGGTATTTTCACCTGCTTTCTTGGAAGCCAGGGTTCTCCATATGTTCTACCAGGATGCATTTCAGATATATTTGTGACAGTTTTTTCTTTTTCCCTTACACCTGGACAAGAGGAGGTTGAAACTTTGTTCCTTGTGAATGTTTAATGTGTGATCAGTGGAGAGTTACTGGAACAAAGCAAACTAGAACAGAGGTCTTCAGTCACCACCATCGCTCGAGTGCCCTGACCAATCAGTGCAGTTCACTCATGTCTGTTTCTGCATTTTTTTTAGATCTTTACAGCTTAACTACCTTTTACTGAGGCAGATTTCCTTGGGGTTACAAAAATAAAATGACTTCACCTGTCAGCCCCGTTACTGCTGCCCAATCAGTGCTTGCTTTGTGTCACATCAAGGGCATGAGTGAGTGGTCCTCGTTCTTCTTTGCAGCTGCCTCCAGTTCTACTTGATAGGTGTTAGATCTAAGGAACTTATATACAGATCAAAAAGGATGTTTTAATCTGATGGTTACGAAACTGTATAGTTAGGTGCCCAGTTTGATGTGACATGTATGCTTGCGTATTGCAGGATGAGATTGTTTCAGTGAAAAATCCACATAAAAAAATAAAAGCAGAAAAAGAAAATGAAGAAAAGCCTGAGCCAGATATTGGTATAAAGAAGGAAGCTGAAGAAAAAAGAGAGACAAAAGAAAAGGAGAATAAGAGGGATTTGAAAAGGGAGAAAAAAGAAAAAGAGGATAAGAAAGAATTAAAAGAAAAAGATATTAAAGAAAAGAGAGAAAACAAAGTAAAAGAATCCACACAGAAAGAAAAAGAAGTAAAGGAAGAGAAGGTAACTAGGTTTACTTATCTTACGTAGCACTAGAAAGCCATCAGGATTTTGTGAATGATTTTGAGTTGAGTTCAATCATTTATTGATCAGTTGTCATTTCATTGAAGTCTTTTATGTAATTTGAAGTTTTACTTTTACCACTTGCAACTGCAAGAGCAGGTATATAAAATGGGAAGATTCATAATTTAATGGGGCTGCAAGTGGCCTAAGAAATGTCTTTGTTTGTTTTCCATTCTCTTTTTCCATGAGTTAGAGACAGAAAATAAACTAGCATTGAATATTAGACATTTCTTTCTTGTTGTTAGTGAAGAGAATGCAGTAACTATAATAATTGCTTAATTACAGAATGATTCTAAACCAGAGTTCGCTTATTGGATTAATTTTTATTTTTTTTGTAGGTAAATGAAACCAAATCTGAAAATAAAGAAAAAACTAAAAAAGTTCCATTGTCAGATACTCCGGTTCATATTACAGCAAGTAGCCAGCCAGTTCCTATATCTGAGGAATCTGAAGAACTTGATCAGAAGACATTCAGTGTGGTAAGACCCTTATTGATAACTTAGTGTTTGCACTTGATACGCTAAGTGGACACAATTTCAGATGTTCTTTGTTCTGCCATTAGGCATTTTAGTAAAGATGATCTATTGCCAGTGAAATTTCAGATCAGTGAAGGGTTATGGATACGATACACAAGTCAGATTTGTTTTCTGGCTGGCAGTTTGGTTATTTATTGCAGTGTGTGTAGTTTATTGCACTGAATAGTTTTAACATATGAATATTGATCCTGAGGAATAACTCATGTATATAACTGCTTCTTAAAGGCCAGAAATTAATGAACCTGAACACAGTTGCAGTTTCCCTTCAGTTTAAAACTCACTATTAGGCACAGAAAGAAACAAATTCTAAAGCCCTTAGAAATATCTTGCCAGTGTAATCTATCTGATACTGGCAAGAATATCAGTTAAGTTAGTGTTGCTGAATAGAGCAGAATCAATATCTGAAGAAGAAAGTAGGTAAGCTCAGCCTGTGCTTTTCAGATTTTCATAGGTCAGTGGGGGCATTTGGGAAGATGCCAAGGAGTTACTTTGAGCATCTACTTTCCTGCTGTGAATGGTGTATCATTCTGGTTTCAGCAAGTGTCTGTTACTGCCAAGCAGGCTTACTGGGTCTCTTGTGCTGTTGGCAGTGAATGGCAAACTTCAGTTTTCTGGTCATTATAACAGTAACCAGCTTATGTGCGTGCTTGCTTTTTCCGTGTATAGTTATTTTTTTTCTAATTGCCTTTACGTTAAGCAGCACATTCTGTAGATTGTGTTTTAAAGGCTGCTTTAATCTGTGGCTAGTATGTAATGTAGTTTCTTGATTACCTAATGGCAGTCGAACAGCTTTAGTGATTTTTTTTTTTCTGAGTTGTCCCTAGTTGTCCACTTTTCCTTTACAAGTAGCAATTGTAGTTTGGTTTTGTGCATTGGTCATGGTCTGGTGTATTCCAGTTAGCATCTTAGCTACTTTTTCAGATGGAAATTATTGCTATATGTTGCTGAGGCAGTGTGCATTTTACCTTGCCATTGAGGTTGGATAGTATTTTTCAAGTTTTGTAACTTAAAACATACTAACTGGATTGTCTTACCATTAACACATTTGAAATACAATGAGAAAATTCAGGAACAGACGTATGAAACGTATCTATGGTACGCTGGTTGTTGCCAGTGTAGTGTACCTGAACTAACATTACCCTGGATAGCATGAGCTCGGTTGTATCTGTGTAGAGCTTGGGTTTAAATTCCTAGAAGAGGAATGTAATTGAATGCCAAGTTTAATTGTTGCTAAAGTATCTATTTAAAAACATACTAAACATTCTCATATTTAATCTTGACACCAAGTTTGTGCAGCTTTCAAGATCCTAAAAAGTAAAACAAGTCCTGTCATATATTGTGCTGAAAGTGATCATAAAATCCAGTTGTAATAAGTTCTTTCCCCAAAAAAATCTTTTAGGTTACATTAGTGTTTTCTTAAATCTTTCATATCTTTGTTGCATACAATCTAATGCTTTCATATAGGAGTAGATTTTCATCTGGATTTAAAATATTACTTTTTCCAAAGGAAACCTGTAGTAAAACTAGATTTTAAGAGCTGTGAGCGAAGCCTTGTGTTTAATTTGGCTTACAACAGTACTGTCTTTGCCTGTATAAATATCACACTAAGGGTGGGTTATGTTTTAGAATTCTTTCTTTTTCTTTTTTTTCTTTGAATAAATGTATTCCCTTTTTTTCCATTTTTACAGTGCAAAGAAAGAATGAGGCCTGTCAAAGCAGCATTGAAGCAGCTGGATAGACCAGAGAAAGGCCTTTCTGAAAGGGAACAGCTAGAACATACTAGACAGTGCCTAATCAAAATTGGGGATCACATTACTGAATGTCTCAAGGAGTACACAAATCCCGAACAGATTAAACAGTGGAGGAAGTAAGTTGTTCTGTGAGATTTTACTCAAAAAATATAAAATCCACAATTGTTCTGTTAAACAAAATATTTTTAATTACTTCTTTTTATTTTCCATGTTGTGTATCTTTCTGCTCTTTTAAATAAGGAACTATAAAAGATTGCCTGCAAATCACTATTTTTTAACGAATTCTCTTTATTTATACTGCTAGAGCAATGCATTTTGTCCAGTAGATGGAGTCACCTCACTTCTTGCAATTAAAAGCAAGCAATATTTAAACAGTGGAAAAAAAGTTCTTATCCTTAATGAATCTGCTTTTTCAACTTGGAGAGGATTTTATTCATGCTAGAAGTGGGCCATTCTAAACTTGTGTTTCAAAGTTTGTATGATTTTGAGTTACAAAAATCCCTCATTCTTTTTCTAAACTCTAGGATTAAATCCTGTTAGCAATGACTTCATAAAAACAGTTACCATAACATGTAATGAGAGATGACTTTTAAAAACAAAAGAGATTTTTAAATGTTTTATTCATCTTTATGAGATGGTAACTTAATTATTAAGAAACAAAATCTTCTGTAAAATTGCTATGTTCCCTTTTTGTGTTGCTAATATAATTGGAGTTGGTTTTATTATAATGTACACTTAAAACCTTTGCTTGAAAACATCCTGAATTCTGTATAAAACATTCAGTTTAAGTATTTAATTTCCTTGCAGACAGTTGTCAGCATAGAATGTTTCCATTTTTACTTTACTTTACTTTGAAATATTAGGGTGAAGGGAAATATAAAATCCATGTCTCAAAGGGCTCTTTGTATAAGTTTTATTTCTTTTAATGGAAATTCATAATACAGCTATTATAATAATAATTTGTAATACTGCTACCATATGCAGATTGTATGTACCATATGCAGATTATTAAAATACATATTTCAGCTGCCTTAACATATATAGTGTAGTAGCACCACATTTGTTGAATTATAGAGATGTCATGAGACGCACTGTTGACTGGTTGTAGCTACTTTTGCAGAACTCTTAAGCCTTAAAACTCTAGTATTTAAGTCATCACAGTGAAGGAGGACCCTGATGCTTGTTGACCATACCCACTTAAAATGTCACTAAACTAAGTGCTAAGTTGAACAGTAATATTCTGTAGTCACTTTTAAACATTCCAACTGTTGATTAAATTTGACTAAAAGAATTCTAGGCTTGAGATCCAGTATTGTGACTGAAGAAGTAATGCAGGCTTTTTCTTTAGGGTTTTGGCTTCTCAACAGCAAGAGCTGATCTGTTCTTTCTTCCTTTGTAGCATAGATTCCCTAGATCCTTCTTGAATTTTTGGCCGTGATCCTTCCATCTTCTTTCAGTTTTCTCATTTGATTTCCAAAGCTTTGACCAGGCCATAAAATTCTGGGGAAGGGCAGTTCTTCTCTCTGATATCTTTAGGAAATGAGGCATGTAGGATACATGTCTTACACTGCAAAATATTTCAGGTTTGGAAAAGGCATTATTGAGTAGTCGTCTTAGGTGTTTTTGCAAATCATGCTATTAAAAGAACTGTTATAAATACATTTTTATGCATTTCTTTGCACTCTGAAATTTATCACAAAGTGATAAATAGTTAAAGGAGTTATTTTTTTCAAGTGTTTGAAATGCAGCTAGGTAATGTTTGCTATGCAAGTAGATAAAATGCTATGTAGTGCGCCTCTGAGTGATTTTAGTATACCAAAGTACTGCTGAAATGTCATTTAAGTCCATGTTCTGTTGCATGATATCAGAATAAGCTGACATACGGAAGAGTGTATCATGCCTTTCTTCTTCCTCAGGAATTTGTGGATATTTGTCTCTAAGTTTACGGAATTTGATGCCAGAAAGCTGCACAAACTGTATAAACATGCAATCAAAAAACGCCAAGAGTCTCAGGTAACTTTTCCAAGTTTTCCTCTAAACATAAAAATACACTTTCTAAGTACTATAACTGTTCTTTTAGCAAAACATTTAAATGGATTACTGGGAAAAGAGTAACTGCGAGGTCCATTTATCTCTTCATAATAAACTAGCCACCTATAGGGTGATATTTTTGAAGTATTCAGGTGTAACTTTGGATTTTATCAGTGAGTTTCCATATCTGTCTCTTTCAGCAACACAATGACCAGAATATTAGCAGCAATGTGAATACACATGTGATTAGAAATCCAGGTAAGAAATCTTATATTCTTGTGTTGGAGATGTTGAATAAATTATGTGCAATGAAATAACCTTAAAAATTGTCTTTTAGAGCTCCTATATTGCTACATATCAAAGGAATATGCTCACTTAGGGTAATTTAACAGACTGAACCCGGTACTTACTGGGTTTAGTAGTAAGCGTTGGGTATTACAAATAATAATAAAACCAAAACAAAATGAACAAAACCCATTCATCCTTAGGTAATTCCTCCCACTCTGTCTAAAACTGCTGTACTAAAGGCCCCAGATCTCTGTTGGTTGCTCATTTGAACTACACTGTTTTTCTTCATTTAAGAAGGATTGGACCAGACTGCAAAATTAAGTTTTTCAGCCCTGCACAACTATATTTCAGCTTGTTTTCCTTGCTACTTGCTTCTTGGATTTCTTTGAGTTCACTCACAACAGTGCATTTGTCTTTCAGCTATTTAGATACTGTCTTTATTAGATTGTAATGTTACTGTTGTATCATTTTAAATCTGACATGTAGCAGTGCTGTTTGAGTTAGGCAAGGAAAAGATTTTACAATGTGTGAAGCATCCTTATAACCTGTGCTTTATTAAACAGATGTGGAAAGACTGAAAGAGAATACAAATCATGATGACAGTAGCAGGGACAGTTATTCTTCTGATAAGCATCTGTCTCAATATCACGATCATCACAAAGACAGGCATCAGGGAGATGCTTATAAGAAAAGTGACTCTAGGAAAAGGCCCTATTCAGCCTTCAGCAACGGAAAAGATCATAGAGACTGGGATCACTACAAGCAAGACAGCAGGTGAGTTGCTTCAGCAGTTGTAAAATCTGTTGGGAATTCTCTTCCAGTTCTTTTAAGAGGTCTGTAGTAAGCACCAAAGTGTCTTTTTCTGAGGAATGCTGGATTTCAAAGTAATTGTATGTCTGTAATGCAGCTTTGCTGAATTGGCAGTTTTAATTCTTACTGTGGGTTCAGTGGCATTAACGTAATTTATTTTTCAGATACTACGGTGATAGTAAACACAGGAAGTTGGATGATCACAGGAGCAGAGATCACAGGTCGAACCTGGAAGGATGTTTGAAAGATAGTCGGCCTCATTCAGACCACCATTCCCATTCAGACCACAGGATACATTCAGATCACCGTTCCAGTTCAGACTACAGTCATCATAAATCTTCTAGAGATTATAGGTACCACTCAGACTGGCAAATGGACCACAGAGCTTCTGGTAGTGGCCCAAGGTCACCGTTAGATCAGAGGTCTCCTTATGGTTCAAGATCTCCCTTAGGACACAGATCTCCATTTGAACACTCATCAGATCACAAAAGTACACCTGAACATTTATGGAGTAGCCGGAAAACATAACAAAGACTGACATTTTCTGGACCCTCTTTTAGCCATATACAGTAAACACACACAGTAATTGCCTTACATGACTTGAAAGATATGGACTGGATATTCTATCAGTAGCAGTATTGTTACTTCTTTCCAGGATGCAAGGTCTATTATCCCAACAGAAGAAAAATATTTTTGTATTTAAAGTTTATGCTGCACTGTGCTGCAAATGTTGTGGCACCTTTTTTTAAGAAATGGAAGATGTTTACTTTTACAGGGACCTCAACACTGCCCCATTCAGACTGGATCTTATTATAAAACTCTTCATGCCAGAGTGGTTCTAGGCTGAACACAATTTAAATTATGTTTGTAAATGAACTTTTAAACACTGACCTGTGATCGTGTTTCAGGAAGGAACGAGGAGTTTGTTTTATTTTGTTGTTGTTGTGTTTTTTTTCCTTAGAAAAGAACTCTCAAGGACTTTGTTCACTTTCCAAAGCTACTTGTTTACATTGTACACTGCGACCACCTTGCCGCTTTTCATCACAAGCTTGAATATTTAAATTCTGTACCTATACCTGTAAAATAGCCAGGATTTCTCCTGTTTGTGATCAGTTGTAATGCCTTTTTACAAAACAACAAAAAAAAGACACAAAAATGGCTGTAAATTATTGTAAATTAATTAAATGAGCTTTTTCCCCCTCTCAGGCTTATTTTGACTGTTCCTTTCCCCACAAACTCAGGCCACAAGTATGAAGCAAAACCAGTGTACTTACACTTTTTAATAAAATATCCTGATGGAATCACTTCAGAATGTAAAAAATGGGGAAAGGGAACATTTTATTCCATTTAGTGCTCCTTTTTTTATTGGATACTTTAGATACATTTTTTTTTCTGTTTGGTTTTTGTTTTTCTATTAAACTGTCAGTGTTGTGATTGTTGTAATGAAATGGTGAGAAATATTCAGCTAAACTGTGCTCTGGAAAGCTTTTTCAGGTGCATTGGTTTTAAAGGAGAAGCGTTCAATATCTGAACACTTCGGAACCCAAATCAGCCAAAATTTATTGTAAATCCATTTGTTTTCCCTCTTTAACATGGGCAATAATGTCAAATGTGCTATGCAGCCAGTTCATATTTTAGCAGATTTGAATGACTTTATTAATAGAATTGTTACAATGCACACTGATTGTACATAGATAACTTCTATCTGACAAATTAAATTTAAACTAAAAGGATATGTGGGCTCTTGTAGTTTTCTGCTGGTGTTTTTCTTACATTTAAGTATAGAAACATTAAACTCATGTAAATACTAATTTTAATACACGACATGAAAATCAGGGAAGAGGAGCTTTTAGCCCAGCATCTTGTGGTTGGAACCGTATCTCTTGCTCTATTGCAATCCATTGCTCTTGTCTTGCAATGTTGAACTTCACCACCCCTCATACCCCACAATTAACCAAGTGGATGTAAAAACATTAAAATCAAATGAAAACCTTTTCACAGAGTATCTGTCTGCTAAGATCTCATCATAGACATGGTTGTGGCTCGTTTAAAGTCGTTATAATTTAACCTAATGCACTTACACTGAAGTAGCTTAAGCTGGAAGTTAGCTAGTGCTTATTCTGTCCTTGGCTCTTCATCTTCCCAGGATTGGGGAGGTCTTGCTTTGTGCTCCATTGCTTATGAGAATGACCATTCTGATGTATTGTTTGGGAGAATCCAAGGTCCTCTGTTAATAAGCCATGTATCCAGTTTCCACGCATGCAGATTTGATCTGTTTTGTTCTTCTGCAACGCAAAGTCTGAGGACTGTGTCGGGTGCTGAAGCATCTGTTTTGCATCAGCCTCTTGCTTTAAATGTTGCTCTCTACAAGATGTTTTAGGAAGATGTTTAAGAAATGTGCTGACTTCAAGAGAACTTGTGCTCTTGATAGACTGGGTTCTTTCATCACCCTACAGGGACACCTTGCAACTGCCATCTCAATCTTGTTAAATATTTCTAATCTGTCATCTCTCGTACTACTCAGAACAAGTATTTTGGTGATCTCTGACAAGGCCCCGGTAAATACACTTTAAAAACAGAAATGTGTTCTCTGAGTGGTTACCATAATGCCATTGTGGTGGCATTACTGTTTGCCTTGCCAGTGATTTCCCCATTTTGACCTTCAGTGTGGGTGTCCCATCAAAGCTGCCCTCAGACAGTCTCTGTTTTCTGGGAGGTGATCATTGCTGTCACATGCAGGACTTTCAGTGGATTTGAGTGGCAACAGCAGCAGGGTGGCTTTCTCTGAAGAAAAATGTCCTGTCTTTGCAAGGGATGCCTGCTTACTCTTGGAGCAACCAGTGCAGTGTAGATATTAGAGCTCAGCGCTAGTCATTACTGACTCACTGTTTTGCTGAAGAGTTTTTGATCTATGTTATAAAATCCCTGTGAGGTATTGCAGTTGGGATGTGTTTTTGAGGAGTGCTCTATCTGTCTCTCTGTGAAGACTCTCCAAGGAGGTAAGAGGCACCTGTTAGGAGCTTCCTGCTTGCGCTGATTAAAGTTTCCTTTGCTCCGCTATGTCAGGATAGCATAGGTAGCACTAGTGCACGCAGTCTCTCTTTCCAACAAGCAGTGCACAAATTGTAGTTGCACCTGGAGGTTACTGTCTGTTCTTAAAACTTCACACTAATAAAAACTTCAATGTAAAGGGCTCCAAAAGCTGAGAAATGCAGTTCTGCTAGGAGCAGAAAGGAAAAGGGATTCTGGAGTTCCTGACTTGTTTCTTATCCTGCTTTTCATTTCTGTCTGCAGTTCAGCTGTTCTTGAGATACAGAATTGAGAGTAGCTGAGTGTAAGGAAGGACATTCTGATCTACCCGTCTGTGTGTCTCCAGCACATTGTGAGAGGTCAGTAAAGGAATTCCCACTGGATATGCTAATGCTGCAAAAGACACATTTTTTGAATGTGTCTGGCATATACTTGCCACCCTCCCCCTCCTATTACTATTATTGATTGGCAACTATCACTTTATAATTTTCAAAGTTACAAACAAGTGAAAAATAACTTTAGGACAAATAATGCCATTTAATGATTATGGTTAATTCACATAAAAAAATAGTGTTCTTGTTCTGTTCAAAAGAAAATGATTGACTTAGAAATAGTTATATACCAAGAAGATAATACCCCTTTGTTAAGTTGTTATTTTCAGAATTTGCAGTATAATGTTGAGAAAACATTTAAGCTTTTAATGTATATATCAATACCATTTCTGTTTAAAATATGGGAGCAGGATGGATGAAAAAAATATGTGCTCATATTCTATACGATATGCTCTGTAGAAAAATTTGGGGAGAGGGTGATAAGTTTTAAGTGCCTTCTTTTCAGTTTACTCCAGAAAATTAGAGTAAATTAGATATAGAAAACCTGCCTGCATTTACTGTAGATTATCAAGATTATCAAGACTGTATTTCTGATTTGTTGTGTTACATAATGTGGCTTCTTTTCATGAATCTCCAAGTCAGTCACAGGAAGTAAACTGAGCACCAATATATACTTTGCGGTATGTAACACGGCCTGTGTTTTATGAAGTAACTTGAAAGGTAAGTGGTGAATCATAATTCTGTGTTTACAGAACACCTGAGACCTAAATGTGACCCCATCTATTTAGTTAAAGTCCAATTCATTACACTCATTTTATTCTAGTTGTAAGGAAAAACGTAGCCAGGTAATGTTCCACTTTAATATCTTTAAATTATATCTGAGGTAGCTGCTCTTTGAACCTTGATTTACTGCTTAATCTTTTGTTACAGGTGTCCCACAGCCTTTGGCCCCAGCAGGTAACGTGGTCTCACGTGCAGGTTTCTGACCTCATCCTTCATGAGGCTGAAGTCTTAAGGTGTCTCTAGCCCATGTGCTGGCCCATCAGGCAGCGGTATCTATTTTACCCTACCCTCCAAATGTGTCCCTTGGCAGCACATGTGGTCTGTGACCTGGCTGAACACGTAGAAGATACAATTTGCCTCTGGCCCTGTGGCCGCAGAGTACAGCTCCACTGTACAGTACCGCTCCGCTTGGAAAACGTCTGGCAGGACACGGGCTACCAGCACAACCTGGGCTATGCCCAGGTCAAGCCAGGGCCACGTTTGGAGGGCCTCTGGTGAGGAGGTCTCCAAGGAATGGGCCATGGGCCGCAGCTGGTTGGGAAACCACAGATTGGGTGCATTCCTCTTAGGAAAATGAATCCGGCCATACCAGCTCCACTCTGGAACTGATTTGCAAACTTTTAATGCAACAGAGTGCCTTTTTGTATGGAGGTTACGAATGAAAGCCAGTGAAAATACATAATAATGACTAGAAAGCATGCAAAATATTTTTCTGTTCAAGATTTTCTGCCAGAAATATTAATCCCAGACTCAAGGAAATTAGTGAAACTAATTGTAGGCTCTGGGAATTAGCAAGGCTGATCTCTCACAGTTTGAGAGGCTGCATTTGCATCGACGATAAGGAGGGCATTGCTAGCAGGATGGCAACGTGCTTTTGCAAGGGAAGCCCTTCTGTCCCCTGCCGTCTCTTGCTCGCCTCTGGACTGCTCCTTAAGGTGTCTGCCCAGCCCTGTCCGGGTTACAGCTGCACCTTCCCGTTCTCCTTTTCTCCCCGCCTCTGACTCCCCTGGTGCTTGTAGCCTGCAGCAGCCCTGCAGCTTCATTTCTGAAAGTGCTGCTGTTTCCGGAGCCTGCCAAGCCCTGGCCCTGCTCCTGGCAGAGCCTCCATGGCCCTGTGAAGCCAAGGCTTGAGCTCTCAATTCCGTGAGGATTTTGGAAACCCAGGCAGGTGGCTTCTTCCCAGCATCTGCCCAGGGAGTGTGCGGAGAAGGGGCACCTCCGGAGGGAAGTTATTCACGTGTCGCATCTAAAATTCAACAGAGCCAGATGTGTTCTTGGGAAGTGATTAATGGACAGTCCACATCTGACTCTGCAACTAAACTGAGGGCTTAATAACAGCCGGGCTAAAAAACATGTAGAGGAATGAAGGTGAGCCAGAGGGTGAGGTGTGTGGCAAGTCTGTTCTTAAACTGTTAGCGAGGAGCCGGCAAAACCGCTAGAACTGGTTAAACCAGAGTGTGCTGGAGATGTTACCCTTCGGCTTAAGCTTTGCCACCTTCAAACATGTTTAGTGCAGATGCTGCTTAACGTTGCAATCATCCTGTTTCTGACAGTTCGACAGCTTGTCAACGTTGTTTAATGGTGGGGGAAATACTCAAATTGAAATGTAGTCCCTGTAAGAGCTGCTGCTGTCAAGGTAGGTCTAGTGGCTTTTCCTGAAGGTGAGCTGAGGAATACACAACTACTGAAGAATGACTGAAATCGCTGAAGCAAAACCCTGAGTCTTGCTTTTGAAAACATAACTTTTGGACCAGTCAGAAAGCTTAAATATAGATCTGGGTCGAGATCATAAGCTAAGGCTGAAGCCGAAAGAACATGTGTGTTTCATTATGCCTGCAGTAATATTATTATTATTTATTTGCTAAAGTTAAATATTTTATTTGTCACAGGTGTTTCAACAAGCCCAGTTTTGAGTCTGTCTTCTCTGAAGATAAACATCCTGAAATGATGTCAGAAAAATCACATACCACTGATCACATGTAAGAAATGAATCAGAGCAGCTTTTATTCCTCCTGTGCTCTAGGACCTCAACTGACTTCTTTTAATTGCAATGAATCTAGTGTTTTTGGAAGTAATTGGGACATTTGGAAAC